GAGGCACACCCTTGAAGACTCACGCCTGCTCCCACCAGGTCACAATGTCACAGGTAGGTCACCAGCACCACTTACAACTCCCGTGCTCCTCTTCCTGGCCCCATCATGTGAGTGGGGATGTGTGGCAAGGTAGATAGTGCGCCCGGCCACTCGGCACAGTTCCAGGGCCCACCCCACTTCCTGTTCTTGGATGTGGCTGCCCACATCCGCAGCCCAGCGATTTCCCTGACAGGCAGCCCTGCCACGGGCACCCTAGCTTCCTGCTCTCCCAGCTTCATTTCTTGCCCCTAAGACATTCATACAACTTGACGGTCCTCATGACTTTTCCTTTCAAATCACTCTCCTCAAACACCATGTCACCATGTGTCACCACATGCACGTGTGTGCACCTGTGTATGCATGTGTGTGTTCAATGGGCATATGTGCATGTGTGTGTTCTATGGGCATATGTGCATGTGTGTTCTATTGGCATGTGTGCATGTGTGTTCTATTGGCATGTGTGCATGTGTGTGCCAGTGTGCATGTATCATTGGGCATATGCATGTATGTGTGTCTGTGGGCTCAAGTCTGTGAACCTGGCGGGGGGACACAAAAGTGTGAAGAGAACTGTTCCATTGCATGCCGGAGTCCAGCTCCCGCTGAGTCCAGAACTCGCAAAGGTGCGTGGATGAGGCAAAAAGAGGAAAGAAATGGACCACTACGATTTCATGATCATAACGGACAATGCGGGAAAGCTGTCCGCTTTATTTATACAGAAGCCATTACAAGCTCTGGCACAGCCTTTTGACGTCATGGTCCAGCGGGTATTTCCAAAAATAATTCTGCTGTTTGTTTCACCTAAAAACTCTAGAAGTTCCTGCTACAATTTTTATTCTACAACTCAATCTTGTATTCCAAAGAAAAGAAGAACCTAAAGAGCAAGAAAAGAATGAAACCTTAAATACAGGTCCCTACATTAGCTCCAGTTCAATGGGGACAGCCAAGACAGTAGGAATAATGGAAGGCCCTTTTGCAAGATGTTATTATTGACATTAACCTCCAAGCTCACATTAAGTAAAAAGCCAACTCCACAGCAGCAAACAATGCCTGGATGGATGGGAATTCTTCCGCAGGGTGGTCTGGTGCCCATGCAAAGGAAGGTGGAGCTGCATTCAGGTGGTCCACCGGGCCTGCCTCAATGGAACCATACTCTTCACACCTTCGTGTCCACCATGCACTGCACGGACCCCAGCAATTGCAGGCAGGACCACAAGGAATTCCCCGCTGCCTGGCAGGGCCCGCTGCACGTCTCTGCATCCACCTGAAGGCATCTCCACCTCCCCTTGCGAGGACACCGACCACCCGCTGAGAATTCTGTAATCTATTCAGGCATTGTTTGCGGAGTTGGTGTTCACTGTCAATGCGAGCTTGGCAGTTCATGTTGGTGATAATGTCTTGCAAAAGGGCCTTTCACAATCCATGCTGTCTCTGTCTCTGTCTCTGCTGCCCCCACTGACCATCCTTGATCTTCATTTCCTCCCCTTTTTGTCATGCATTTCCTCCCTTAACTGATTCAAGATTAAGTTGTAGAATCAGGATTGTAGTAGGAATGTGTTTCTGATTGATATGAACCATGTATTGAAAGCTTTAAGGTGAAACAATTGGCAGGATTATCCTTGGAAACACCCACTTGACCATGATGTCAAAACGCTGTGCCAGAGCTTGTACTGGCTTCTGTATTGTCCATTATGACCATGAAATCGTAGTGGTCCATTTTTCTCTTTACGCCTACTCCATGAACGAGTTCTGAACTCAGCTGGAGCTGGACTCTGGCTTCTGTGTGTGCATTTACATGTGTGTATGGGTGCGTGTGTGTATGTGTGTGACTGTACATGTGTGTCTGTATTGTGTGGGCATATGCATGTGTTTGTGTGTCTCTGTGCATGTATCTGCATGTATTTGTGTGAACATGTTCATGGATGTCTGTATGTATATATGCATGTACGTATTGTGTGCTTGTACTGCGTGGGCATGTTGCCTGTGTGTGTATGTGTGTGCGTGTGTGTGTACATATGTGTACAACACCATTTCACACACTCTGCCGGCTCTGGCCTGGATCACCGTGTTTATTTTTACTCACTAACTGACACAGCAACTTATCCTCTAAACCCCAAAATACAGTAACTGTCCAGGTCCACAGTCAGGAAAGCTCTCTCCAGAACAGGTGCTGTGACACAGCACACTCATCCTCAGCCTGCCGTGCCAGCATCTCTATGGGCGCTGCTTGGAGTCCTGGCTGCTCCACTTCTGATCCAGCTCTCTGCTAATGGCTGGGAAAGCAGCAGACGACGGCCCAAGGCCTTGGGACCCTGCAACCACGTGAGAAATCCAGAAGAACCTGCTGGCTCCCAGCTTTGCATCAGCTCCGCTCCAGCCATTGCAGCCACTTGAGCAGGGCACCAGCAAGATGGAAGATCTCTCCTTCTCTCTCCGGATCTACTTAAAAAAAAATTCAAATAAATCTTAGAAAGAGGGAAGGAGGAGGGAGGAGAGAGGGAGGGAGGGAGAGAGGAGAGAGAGAGAGGGAGTGAGCGAGGGAGGAAGGAAGGAAGGAAGGAAGGAAGGAAGGAAGGAAGGAAGGAAGGAAAGAGAGAAAAAGAGGCAGGCAGGCAAGAGCGCGACACACCCCACCCCTTTCATTCGCCAGGATTTGGGGGTCCCTGTTTCCTGCCCCGGCTCTGCTGCTCTCCCAATGTAAAGGAAGGACCTGGGCTAATCGGATGCACTGACCCCAGCGGTCATTGCCCTGCTCAACGAAGCCTGGCTTTTCTCATCGCCCTGGTCACTGGCTCAGGATCCACAGGCTCTGCCATCCAGGCCAAGAGGCTGTAGGGCTCAGGGCTGTCTGTCCCCAGACGCTCCCAGAGGGAGCGCGCTGCCCCGGCTCGCCCGCCAGGTGGCGCCTGCCCGTCGCGGACCAGCACGGAAAGCCGCCCGCGCTCCCTGCCGCCCGCCCCGCTATGACACACTCGCCCGGCAGGTGGCGCCGCTGCGCCACGCGGGCTGCCCCAGCCTGGTGCTGTGGCCTGGTGCCTCAGCCCTGCAGACCCCACAGGCCCTTCAGCCCCATCTGATGGGATAAAAGGAAAAAGACCTCAAACTAGAGGGAGACAGCCACTCAACAGGGAATCCAGGTCCTCCGTGGGCGGCAGAATGCTGCCTCTGTGGAAGGAATGTCGCCCCACTACAACATGTCACCAGGACAGCGTTCCCTGGATCAGGTGCCTGACACCCAGCTTCCTACTGCTGTCAACCAGGGGGCAGCGCTGGACTCAACGAAGGGGGTCCTGTCACCCCTGGGAGCCCAAGTGGAGTTCCAGCTCCTGGCTTCAGCCTTGGCCATTGCTGCCATTCAGGGGAGTGAACCAGGGGACCCAGTGAGTTCTCTCTGCCTCTCCAATAGAGAAAAATAAAGCAAGTGAACCACATTCCCTTTCGAATCCAGAGTTTCCGTGGAAGTCCTTCCTCAAGCCCACCTGTGATTGTCCCAGATGTGAAGGGCCCACAGCGCTGTAACATCGCACTTCAAAGGGAACCGTGTGGGCGGGCACCGCAGTGCTGTGCAGCCATGACGGACGTGCAGAGGAATATGGAACCACACCAAAGGTGTTACTTAATGTTCATGAACACACACGCCAACAGGTGTATAGTAATGTGTTAAAAGGTACAAGCACAGGTTTAAATAATCACACGAAAGACAAATTTGCTTGCAATAATTTTCTGGGTGGTAAAATGCAGTGATTTTTATTTTCTTATATTTTTCCAAGTTTTATTTTTTTTTTAGCAATAAACATTGGTAAATAAAGAGGAATTGAACAGAGACTAGAAATGCATGAGAAGTGCGAATAGGGGCCAGCAGTGTGGAGCAGTGGGTAAAGCTGCCAGCTGCTATGCTGGCATCCCATGTGGGTGCCGTTGGAGTCCCAGCTGCTCCACTTCCGGTCCAGCTCTCACTAAGGCACCTGGCAAGCAGAGGAGGATGGCTCAACTGCTGGGACCCTGCATCCACATGGGAGACCTGGAAGAAGCTCCTGGCTCCTGCCTTCAGCCTGGCCCAGCTCTGGATACTGTGACCATCCGGGGAGTGAACAGCCTGAGGGCGGGTGAGTCCTGGAGCCGCCCTGCCCCACCCCGAGGGCTGGCCAGCACTGGGCAGGGAGGGATGGTCCTCTGAAGGGCAGGTTTCCTGTGGACTGCACCCCAGGAGGCCCGTCCGGGTGTGACCATGTCCTGGCAGTGCAGCATGAGTGGGCAGGTAGGTGCCAGCGTCCCCAGAGGCGAGCAGAGGTCAAATTGGTGTCTCACTGAAACTGAGACTCTTTCTCAGCAACTTCCTGAGAAGTCTTTCTTCGTTTTCAATGTCTTTACCTTTATGATACTAAACAGAACAACTGTGAAGTCCTCACAAGATAAGCGCGCGTGGGAAGGACCCTGACTGAGGACTGTCAGTTGGAGGGGCTGGGGTGGAGGGCACATCTGGCAGGAAGAGCAGGGAGGTCCCCCTCAGCCTCCTGGACAGTACCCCTGCCTCCACCCCCTCCGCCAGCACGTATATGCCCAAAGGGACTTTGCCACCTGCAGGAGTGTGGCCATAGAGCACCTGATGGATGTTGGGGCAGCCCCTGGAAGGACCCATGGCTCAGAGCTCACCCTGCACATTTCTTGGCATGGGGTCCCAGGACACTCAGCTTGGCTCCCTCCACCCCCGGGCTGGCTGGGCCGCCTCCAGGCCTGCAGTCCCAGGAGAGGGTCCCAAGGCCTCACCCTGCCCAGGTGCTTGGCTGCCCACACAGGGCGGCAGTGCAGGGAGCTAGCCAACCTGGGGGCTGCGGGGATAGGCACCAGCATGTTGGCCTAGGAGGGGAGCTGTCCACCCTTCTCGAAACCCACCAATCAGAGCTTTCCTTTCAGTCTCATTCAAAGGCCTTTCAATGTCAGAAATACTTCACAAGGAACATGTGGAAGAGCGACTGTTCAGATTTATTGTCACTTGAAGCAGAATGAGGGCAATCTGTAGGCTGCAGACACTCCTTAGAGCCGGCAACACGGGCCTCTGGAACTGCCCAGATTCCAAGGGTGGGGACACTGAAACCCCAGCATGGGCGAGCTGGGGGCTCTGTGGGCTGAGCGCCCTCCCCCTCCTCTGGGGCAGGGGCAAGGGCAGGGCACACCCGGGGGCCAGTATTCTCACTCAGAGTGCTCCAGGTCCTTCCTGCACAGGTGCTTGGGAGAGGAGAAGGCGGAGAGAGTGTGTTGGGGCCATAACGACTTCCTCTAGCCGCCCAAGCACCCAAAAGGCAACTCAGAAAACTGCCCCATGGGCCTGAGCCAGGAGTGCCTGCACTTCTCGCCAACTACTGGGTCAGAGGGCAGCCAGGGCACACTGGGAAATAACTTCTGGAACATGTCACAGCATAGCAGTATCTTCTCAGGCAGGAGACACCACTCCAGGCAGAGCGGACACTCAGAGCCTCCCCTGGCCCCCAGCCCCTCGAGGCAGGGTGGCCTAGTCGTCATAGCGGATCTGGGCCTGCAGCTCCTTGGTGATGTAGCCTACCAGCACAGCCAGCAGCTGCTGCTGCAGGGCCTCACTGCCTAGGACGAGAGTGGTGAGCTGAACAGCATCTGTCCAGTCCAGGTGCCGGATGATGGCAACGGCCTCATTAAAGAGCTTCTGCTGCTCGGCCGGGGGCAGCTCCATTAGGATCTGAGGCACGGGCTGGAACTGTCCACTTGTCATCCAGGCACCTAGCAGGCCCCCGACGGCCCCACCTGGAAAACAAGGGAGCCAGCAGTTAGGCCTGGGGCCACATGCCAGCCTCAGCTTCTCGCTGAGCCCATGAGGAGGGGGCCAGTGGTGGAGCTGGTCGGGTGGGCTCAGCTCTGCAGGCAGCAGGCAGGGCAGACCTCTGCTGCCCCTGCCTGTGGGAATAGATACCCAAGTGTACCTTGCCCTGATGGCAGCACCTATGCGGAGCAAAGCACAGCTGCCTGTGAGCCAAGTCTTCCTCAAGTGGCTTCCCACACCATCTCCTGCCTTGCAGACCAGGGAGCTGAGCTGCAAAGGGGCCCTGAGGTCAAGTGGCTCAGCAGTGAGGCCCTGCTTCCTCCCCTGGGGGCCCGACACACTCTTTGTCCCTGAGCCTAAGAAACTTGCCCAGAACTCAGGAGGTTAGAGATCCCAGGGACCCCGTCAATCATGCCATGGCATGGCCTACTGCTTGCCTTCCTGCTTCCTGACAGGGGCACACCACCATTTCCAACGGCAAACTGTGTCAACGTGAGGGTGTGCTCGGGGTAAGGTTACACGCTAGTGGGAGGGGCCTTGATGGCCAGAGTCCAGACTCAAGGACCTTCAGGAGTCGGACAGGTACACAACAGGGGGGAAGGAGACGGAGTGGGCCTGCGGTTACATCGAAGGGGCAGCTGCCAGCCTTGCCAGCCAATTCCTGCCACACACAACAGGGGATTCACGTCTTTCAGATGCCTGTGTTCTAAATTGTCAGGAATGAGGTATCTAAGGGTGCAGCCCGTCTGGCCTCGGGACTCACGCCTGCACAACAGCACGCAGGAACAGCAGCTTCACAGCAGAAAAACCCAGTGCGTGTGACTCTCCCGAGGGAGCGGGGCCATTCGACCCAGTGAGGCTGCATGGGCGCCCTGTACCCGCCAGGAGTGGTGCAAAAGCCGTACGTTCACATCTGGGCTGATCTTCTGAAGGCCCGCGGCTCCTGTCTGACCACAAGGAACACGACAGACAACTCCAGACGGACAGAAGGCCCACCAAGCACGGCAGCCGTCCTCACCGTCAAGATTGTAAAACCAATGACAGTCTAAACAAACTGGCACAGACCATTGGTGACGAAGGAATCAAACAGGACTCTAGAATCAATAAAGGGGCAGGGGGTCACTAACACTAAACCTGGTCAAATCTGGGGATGGTGCTGTGGCACAGTAGCTTAAGCTGCTCATTGCGACACCAACATCCCATCCTGTAGCACTGGTTCAAGTCCCAGCTGGTCTGCTTCCCACCCAGCTCCCGGTCACTATGCCAGAGAGCAGCAGCAGATGGCCCCTGCCACCTGGGACGCCAGCATGGAATTCTTGGCTTCTGACTTCAGCCTGGGCCCATTGGAGAGTGAGCCTCCAGATACTGGACGAACCATGTCTTTGTCTCTTCTCTCTCTTTCAGTCACTCTGCTTTTCTTTTTTTTCTTATTATTTTTTTAATTTGCAGACAGAAAAATGTATTTGCAAAGGGACCAGGTGAGGAGGGAAGGGAAGGAAGGGGAAGCACCTGCAGAGAGAAAACCGGGAGGCGAGGTGCCTCTAGAGAGACGAGGGAGACAGAGACACCAAAGGTTTGAGGAAGCGTCTTGGCATTTTAAGCCTTTCCTGACCCCTCCTTGTTGGGCGAGCAACCTACAGGTAAGATGTTCCCCACTGGTGGTCTCTTAATTAGTTAGAAAATGGGTGGGCAATGCTGTGCCGCCCACCTTAGGTGTGGCCAAGACCTCAGCAGGCCTGGATGGTATCAGATCCCCCTCTTGAAATCCCACAACCTACTTCTGTGGGGGAGGGGGAGATGTCTTCTGGCTGCTTCCTGCTGAAATTGGGCGTTGTTTCGGTAAGGGGCCCCTAGAGATGTGGGATCCAGAGAGATGGTCCGGGTCATCCAAGTTGCCATGGCAGAAGTTGGTCTGGTTGTCATAAAGTTTGCATGTTCAAGGCCACCTGCAGCCTTGAAGATCCCTTGTGAAGTCTTCACTCGGTTAAGTTGGGCCACGTGGCTCCCGTATAAGTCTATTTTTTCAGTCCCCACGTTGGGTGCCAGGGAAAATATGTTACCAGAAATGCCTGGTGGGTTCTTTCCTCAGCTTAGTATAGACTTAAAAAGCCGGGAATCTGTTGCAGAGAGAAAAATTTATCTGCAAAGGGACCAAGTGAGCAGGGAAGGGAAAGCGAAGGGGAAGCACGTGCAGAGAGAAAACCGGGAGGTGGGGTGACTCTTGAAAGAGACACCCACTCTGCCTTTCAACAAACAAATGTTAGAGAGAAAGGAAGGAAAGAATGGAAATCCCTAGTGAAACCCAAATGGAGTCTAGAACATGGTTCACGGTAGAGTGTCAGTGTTAGTTTTGTAGCCTTGACAATGACCCATGATACATGTTAACACTAGGGGAACTGGAACCAGGTGACAGACACATGGGCATTCTGTCTATGCACTTCCTGTAAATCTATTATTCTTCCAGACTACAAAATTTATTAAAAAAAAAAATCCTGTGACATGGGCCACAGATGGGGTGCGGGGCAAGGGGTGGGGGACATGCCCTGGTTCACTTCCCACATGGCCACAATGGCCGAGGATGGGCCAGCCAAGCTCAGCAGCCAGGAACTCCATCTGGGTCTCCCCATGACTGGCAGGGGATAAGCAGGCAGCTAGTTTAGGAGCTGCTGCCCTGGAAGTCCCGTGACCAACAAGGCCTCCTCCAACCAACCCCCCCCCCCGCCCGTGTAAAGCTATCCTCCTGCTTGTCAATCAAAACACCCCTTTTCCCAGATTCATCTGTTCCATCCCAGACTTGAGAGGAAGGCAGCAGGAAAATACACAGCTCCAGGAGGTGCCAGCCGCTGTTCCTCCACTCCACCTCTCCTCCCCGCCCCACAACCTTGTAAAAGATTTTTCTTTCATTATTTGAAAGGCAGAGTTACCGAGATAGAGAGGGAGAGATCTTTCATCTGCAGCTTCATTCCCCAAAGGACAACAACCAGAGCTGGGCCAGGCTGCCCAGGAGCCCAGAACTGCTCCCTGGTCTCCCTCGTTGGGTGCAGAGGCCAAGCCTCAGCACCCTCTCTACTGCTTTCCCAGGCACCTGAGCAGGGAGCTGGATGGGAAGCAGAGCAGCAGGACCCACATGGGATGCAGCTTAACCCACTCCACCACCACACTGGCCTCAGCCCCAAGTCCTGGTGGCTGGCTGCTCTGGACTGGGTCAGCGACTCTCCCAGGAAGAGCAGCACTCTGGGGAAGGCAGACCAGCTAATGTTCACACTCCTGAACTCCCCATGACACCAGTGAAATGCTTGGAGCTGACAGGAGTTGTGTCCATCGGCACTAACCCTGTATGAGAACATCCATACTTGATTTAGAGCAGCACTTAACACGCAGATTCTCCAGGAATATCGACCGGCAAATTACTAGTTATTGGAAAAGAGAAAATTGCTTTGTTTTCTCCGTAAAATGATGCTAGCACCCAAGACCAAGAGCTGGATGTAGCAGGTGCCCTGCTTCCTGCCAAGGCCTGGGTCTCCAACAGCTTTTACTCAGTTTCAGCAAACTGTGTGTTCCCAGGGGGTCCTGGGACGTGCCTAGGTGGCCAGGGGGTCTCGGAGGTGGTGGGGACAGACTCAGGAGGTCACTGAGGAAGGAGGCCATGGCCTGGTCTCCTGCCTGCCTGGCTCCTTCCGGGACGGCGAGGAGCTGATGTCAGCACTGGCTGAGCTTCGGCACATGCAAAGGGAACATGGTGGAGGGGCCTTCTGGGGTTTATCCTCCCCGCTCCTGTGGCCCGTTTCCTGGAAGGTCCTTGAATGTCAGTCCTGCCTCCAGGGGGAGAACACCCAGGAAGCCCAGGCAGCAAGCTGGGAAGCAGTCGGCAGCCTGGGCAGAAAAGCAGCTGCTTGGTGGCCTACAGCCATGGACAGAGGCCTCCCATCAGCCCGATGCCCAGCACGGAGGAGGCGCTGCTAACAGGCACGGCGCCCAGTGCAGCAGGACCCCGGCAGACAGCAGCCTGAGGATCCCAGCTCAATAGCAGTGCAGGATGCGGCTGGGCCTCACCCGGCTGGCTCACTGCAGTCTAGCTGAGGGTTCAGGCCGCGGCCTGAGCCAGGACGCAGGAATCCCTCCTGCCCCTCATCAGAAAGAATTACTTTGGGGCCTGGCACAGTAGGCTAGTCACTAACGTCCTCACCTTGCATGCTGCACTGCCCTTCCAACTCCCTGCTTGTGGCCTGGGGAAGCTGTGCAGGATGGCCCAAGGCCTTGGGACCCTGCACCCACATGGGAGACCTGGAAGAAACTTCTGGCTCCTGGCATCACATTCGTTCAGCTCTGGCCATGAGAAAACTTGGGTGGTGAACCAGCAGACAGGAGATCTTTCTCTGTCTCTCCTTCTCTCTGTGAAGCTGGCTTTCCCATAAAGTAATAAAGAAAGAAATCTTCTCAACAAGGAAGCACCTTTATCCCAGCTCTGAGAACCAACTGGGAAATGAGCCAAGCTCTCGTTCCCAGCCATTGCAGGCTGCCCAGGAGGGCCGGCCCTGGGGCGGAGGCACTGTCTGTGCTGTTCCCTGCACAGACTTTGTGCTTCCAGAAGGAGGACGCGCCAGCTGCTGCAGACCAGCCATGCAACATCTGCTCGTGGTCACATGTGCCGCAGACACCAGCTTCCTTCCTGGCTCCCTTCCAAAATGACCTGTGATGCTGCTGCTGAGCGAACCCAGAACCCATGGACACAGGCCGGTAGGGGAGCGGGGAGGCTGGGGCCAGGGTCCCCCCACCTGCCTGAGAGAGCAGACTGGTGCTGGAGGTGTGGGAGCCCTGTGTGCTTCTGAGCCGTTCACCGGCTGGATTCTGCACATACAAGCATTCCACAGAGGAGAGGCCACTGAGTCCTCGTCCCTGTGTGCACCCTTCTCCTCCAGGACACACTCCCAGCTGACCATCCCAGCAAGACACCTCACTTACCGACAGCAAGTCCTGGTGGGCCACCCACCAGGCCGCCCACGAAGGCCACAGCTCCCGTGACCAGGGCACCCTTGCCCGAGTGCTTGACAGCCGCTTTCATTTTTCTCTTCTCAGAGAGGGTGCACAACAGCTTCATGATGTCTTCCACCATGACGGGCATCCTGGCCGGCCTTGGGGAAGGACAAAGGAGTGAGCAGATGAGCCCCTGTGTCCTGGAGGGGGCAGCGGCCCCACTGCGTCTCACGGGAGAAGCCCCTGCCCCTGGAACGCAGGGTGAAGGCTAGTCAATGGTAAACAGAAGCAGCAGAGGCAGATACAGGGGACCCTGCGATCAGGTGCTCGGCACATCCATTTGGGGGCAGCGCTGGCCCTTCCTGCCATACCTCCCCCTCCCTTAGCTGAGCCCACACTGACCCATGGAGCCTGGCGTGTGCCATGATGTCTCAAGGGCCTCATGGCCCCTTCTGAGTCATAGAGCATCTGCACCAAGCCTGGGGAGGGTGGAACAGCATGGGGCCCACAAATGGCATCTGCTGGGCTCCTCATCTCTGGCTCTCAGAAGGTGCCGGTAGAACAGACACAGGTGCCTAGGCTGGGTGTGGCATGCCGCAGGCTCCAAAGGGCTCTCAGTCACACACACACACACACACACATCCTTCCTCCCCCTCTCGCTCCACACATGGGCCACCTGATAGCACACACAGGGCAGGCACTTTGTGCCCTGCTCTCAGCCAAGGCAATCTGGCAATCTGATGCCAGCCAGAGCATCCGGGCCCCTGCCACCAATGTGGGAGACCTGGAATGGCTCTGGCCTGCCATCCCTGTTGCTGGCATTTGGAGAGGGAACCAATAGATTGAGGGCTGATCTCATTCCTTCTATCATTCTCCACATTTTAAGTAACTGAAAACAACTAAACATTTTAAAACACTCAGGGACGATGTTTTTAAGATGAAGCAGAGACTGAGTAAACTGAGGCAAAGAGCAGGTGCATGCACGGATGTCCCCCTCCCTTTTTTTTTTTTTTAATAACAACCAACTATGCTTTGTGTTAAATTATTTTTTACTGCTGTATTGGAAAGGCAGAGTTACAGAGATGAAGAAATCCAGAGAAAGAGAAAGAGAGAGAATCTTCCATCCACTGGTTTGCTCCTCAAATGCAGCAATGGGCAGAACCAATCCAGGAGCTTCTCCTGGGTCTCCAACATGGGACACAATGAAAAAGTCCCACAAAGACTTGATCATCCCCTGCTGCCTTCCCAGGTCATAGTAAAGAGCTGTATCAGAAGTGGAACAGCCAGGACTTGAACTGGGGCCCATACAGGATGCTGGTGCTGTGGGCAGCAGCATTACCTGCTGTGGCCATGGCTTTGGCCCTGAGGGATGGATTTTTTAATCTAATGACCTTTAGAATAATTGCCTGTGTCAGGACACTTAACACTGCTGCCAGGAAACTTGATACATTACCTGCCCTGAGAAGGAACAAGCAGGAATCAGAAGCTGTCAGGCTGACAGTGCCAGGAGCAAGTCACACGCCACTGAGCTGGATCCTCTCCATACAGGTTGTTCTCACAGCTCTGTCCTCACCAACTTTCTGCCCTTTCCTAGCTGAATGCTGCCACGGCTGCTACAGGCCTGGGATGGAGAGAGCGGAGGCAGACTCCACTGCTCAGCAGCTCTGGCTTACGTGACCTGCACGGACCCCAAGTCCGAGGTCTGACGTGGCACAGATCCAGCCCTGGGAGCTAATGCCAGAGTGCAGAACACCACGCACCCACCTGGCCGCCTCGTGCTGGGTGCTCAGAGCTTCTTGGCAGCCCCAGGAAGGGCAGAGCGTGGCCCCTGCACACTTTCCTTCCTTCTTTCCTCTGACACTCCACATCTGTGACGCCCCTGGCACACAGGAATCTCTCAGGTCTGTGTCAGATCCGGGGTGGGGAAAGAGTCTGTGTTTGCGGGCAGCAAGACGCTACAAGGACACGGAGCGGGACTGGGTGCTGGCGTTTTCACTCACTCCTTCCTGCGCGTGCTGCACGAGGCTCTCTCCAGATGTGTCTGTTTGGCCAAGCGGCAGGTGGAAGGCAACGGAGCGGAAGCCTGACAGGGCTGTCCAAGGGCTGGAAGACACGCAAGTGACCAGTCCCTGCCCTGGCTGCCTGGTGTCCAGCCAGCTGGACGGGCTCCTCCCTGGAAGGTGCTGGTCAAGGTTTTTGCACAAATATGCTGCTTATCCCAGGGAAGGCGCTGGGCCTGGCCAAGGCCCCACCCGGAAAGGGGGAGCCAGAAGGAGGTATATTTCTTGGTTTGCCTTGGTCTTGAAAAACCATGCCAACAAAGTTAGTCTAATATCAAATACGACAACGAAAGGAATTGCTCTGACAGTGAAACCTCTCAAAAGGCTGAAATCCTGCCGGTAAACTGAGTCACCTGCCTTTGCAGCAGCTCTGGTTTATCTACAAGCTACTCATCCTGCCAATTACAGCACACCTGTTTGCCCAGGACTGGGAAGGGCCCTCCCGAGGTGAGACTTTGACCCCAGACACTCAAGGGCTAATCAGGCTTCCAAAGGCACCCCAACCTCCACTGAGCCCAGGCGAGGGAGGACCTGACTTCTGCTGCACTTCAAGAAGCTGCACCTTGGGATCCAGCGCAACAGCATAGCAGTTAAAGTCCTTGCCTTGAACACATTGGGATTCCACATGGGCACCGGCTCTAATCCCGGAGACCCTGCTTTCCATCCAGCTCCCTGCCTGTGTGGCTTGGGAATGCAGTCGAGGACAGCCCAAATTGCTCCACCCCACAGTTCCTTGAAGCATTCTAGAAGTCATTGCACCAGAGACTCTGACGGAAGCCAGGTGTAACCCCAGCTCCTGAGCCTCTGCTTTAAAAGCTCAGCTGCCTGAGGTCTCTGGGCTCACCCTCCCAGTGCAGGCTCCTGGTGTGCACTGGACAAGAAGGGGTGTCGCAGGGAGCAGGAGGGCACTCAGAAGGGACAGGCCTCACAGGGGAGGGAGGGAGACCTCCCCGCCCGCCCAGATCACACTTGTTTCACACTCACAGCTGCCCATGAACAGGCCCACGTCACAGGAAGTCCAGCTGCTAGGCGCTAGAGGAGGCAAAGGTCAACTGGAAATTGTAACCACCCTGTTTCGGCTCTTGTGGTGGGGGAGGGGGAAGATCTCTGCTTGGCACAGGGAGATCTGCCCACTCTTGGGGTCTGGGGACTGGGGGGGCTTCAGGGCAACACAGACCTCCACACACCATTTTACAAAATACAAACAAGGACACCAAAGGCGCGTTCTTCTCTGGGGAACCAAACCTCATCTTCCCATCATCGTACGCCCCAGCGCCGTGCTCACGAGTGGACCCCAGCAGCGAGCACCAAGGGGTGAGCTGGTAGTTCCCAACACTGGAATGCAGCGTGTTAAGCCCCTGTCTGTGGCAGTGGTATCCCATATGGGTGCTAGTTCAAGTCCTGGCTGTTCCACTTCCCATTCAACTTCCTGCTCATGCCCCTGGGAACACAGCAAAACAAGGTCCTAGTGCTTGGGATTCTGAACCCACATGGAGACCCGGGAAAAAGCTCCTGGCTTCCGCTGGGCACGACCTTGGCTGTGGTCACTGAAGACATCTGGGAAGTGAGCCAGCAGAGATCTCTCCGCGCCTCCCCCTCCCCAACAGCACCTTTCAAATAAATTTATATACTACCTGAACCCAGCAACCTGCTCGTGGCCTGGGAAAGTAGTAGAGGATGGCCCAAGGCCCTGGACGCTGTACCCACTTGGGAGGCCCACAAGAAGCTCCTGGCTCCTGTTTTTGGATCAGCTCAGTTCTGACCATTTCAGCCATTTGGGGAGTGAAGCAATGGATGGTAGACCTTCTCTATCTCTCCTTTTCCTGCTTTCTTTCTTTCTTTTTTTGAAGCTGTACTTATTTTTGTTGGAATGGCAGATATACAGAGAGGAAGAGAGACAGAAAGGAAGATCTTCTGTCCGATGTTTCACTCCCCAAGTGACCACAACCACTAGTGTTGTGACAATCTGAAGCCAGGAGCCCAGATCCTCGTCTTGGGCCATCCTCGACTGCTTTCCCAGGCCACAAGCAGGGAGCAGGATGGGAAGTGGAGCTGCTGGGATTAGAACCTTAGAATCGGCGCCCATATGAGATCCCAGCGCGTTCAAGGTGAGAACTTTAGCCGCTAGGACAGGGCCCTGGGATCTTCCTTTTCACTGTAAGTCTCTTTCAAATAATAATAATAATAATAATAATAATAACAAATCTTGAAACAATTTTTTTTTTAATTCCTAAGATGTCACACACTTTGCTGGTATCTTCTGAAATCTCTGCTTTTCTGGGAAGCCATGCAATCTTTGGCTATCCTGGCTGAGAAGGGGCTGACCTGCCCCCGACCACCAACACACACACACACACACACACACACACACACACACACGCACAGCAGGCACTGCCCTGGCTGCCACAGCACCACCAGCCCCTGCACCTGATCCACCTCACAGCCTCTAAAAGCATCCCCAGTGGTTCTGGAAAAGGCTACAGCAGCCTCCCAACCGCACCCAAACCAACCACACTTCCCAAACCCCCACCGATTCTTCCTGGTCACCTGCCATGGCAAGGCCAGGCGTGCTGCCCTAAGCAGGTGTTGTGCTGGGACAGCACCCACACCAAGGGACTGCGGGAGCACCTGAGTCCTAAAGTCATGTTTCCTCATACGGAAAATGAAAAACACCGAGAGCGTTCACCCTGGCACCGTGAGGGTCGGGCCAGCGGCAGGAACGGGACCTCAAATTCCTCCCAGGACTCCAGGCCCGATGCGCCAGGGGCGCACCCTCCCCGAGCCGGCGCAGCGCAGGAGGCCAAAGGCCGAAGGCTCAGCCCCGGCCCTCCTCGCCCTCCTCGCCCTCCTCGCCCTCCTCGCCCTCGGCCACACCTTTACCTGGCGGCCAGGCCGGCCGGGTGTGCGCGCCTGTGAGATCCAAAGGCCACTCGCTTGTCCGGGGAGACTGGCCAGCGGGCGCTCCCGAGCCCCGGGAGCCCACAGCGTCTGCACCCGGCCCCGGCCGCTGCCCCACGCGCGCCGCCGAGGGTGCCCAGGCGGCGGTGGCCCGGGTGGAGGTGGCCCCGGTGGAGGTGGCCCCGGTGGAGGTGGCCCCGGTGGAGGTGGCCGCAGTGGAGGTGGCGGTGGCCCCGGCGGTGGTGGCGGCCGGCGCGCTAGCTCCGCCTCCCCGCCTTCCGGCGCCGGTTCCCGGGGGCCTTCCGGGGCCTTCCGGGTCGGCTGGCGCTGGTCTCCGAGCCCGGAGGCCGCTTGCCAGGGCAGGTTCCCTGGGCGCTGGCCAGGACTCGTGACCTCGGGCCTGGCTAGTCCCTTCGACTGGCATTGGGATGCAGGAGGACCAGAGTTGACTGGGCCTGGAGAGGCGCTAGCTCAGCTGGGAGTCCACCCTGCCCCTCACCCGCTCCCTCCCCCACGCACCTGTGGGGCTCCAGCTGACCTGCCTCACCTTGAAGGGGCCCCCTGGGTGGCACGCGCTTTCCTGGGTAGGGACAGGACACGGGGGCACTGGGGGGTCGACATGACAGGTTGGGGCTCTCTGCGTTTGTAAGTGAACACATACATAGATTAAATGATTTTTAAAGGAAATTTGTCTAATTATATTTGAAAGGTGCATTTTGCAGAAATTTTCTGTCATCCCTGGTACATTACCCAGATGCCACAGTGGCCAGAGCTGAGCCAGTCCTGGAGCCCCGAGCTCCTGTGGGTCTCCCACATGAGTGTTGCATCCCAGGGACTTGGGCCATCCTCTGCTGCTTTCCCTGCCATACACAGAGAGCTGGCTCAGAAGTGGAGGAGCCGGGATAAGAACTAGCACCTGTATGGGATGCTGGCCCCAAGGGGGAGGGGGTGGTTTAGCTTTCTGTGTCACCACACTGGACCATGAGGTTTTTCTTTTTCTTTTCTTTCGCCACACTCCCTGGTTTTATTAAAATGAGATTTATGTAATTTAAAAATTATTAAAAGGTACAGTTGTTGAGAGAGAGAAATCTCTGTGCTGGCTCACTGCCCACATTTCTGCAACGGCCACAGCCAGGGTCGTGGCAGGTGGAAGTCAGGAGTTTTTCTGGGTCTCCCATGTGGGTGTAGGAGCCCAAGTTTGGATTAGCAGGAAGCTGAATCCGGAGTGGAACAGGTGCCACAAAACCCCGTGCCCAGAGGTGGTGGTGGTAGTGGTGTTGTGATGTGCTAATCAGCATTTGGTGATTGACCAGAGTGGACCTTCAGCTGTCCCGTGATGCACTGGGGCTTCTGGGCTCTGGGCTTGACAAGGACAAATTGATTGTAGGGTCTAAGCTAAAGCCGGGGATGGTCCTGGGGGAGGGGGCAAAGGCAAGAGGGGCCAGGGGTAGAGAAGGGCCTGAGGAGAGGAGGAAGGCCCATTTCTCAAGTTCTACCCAGGGCCATGCCCCCAGAGACCCGAGGCATAGCCTGAACCATCTCAAATTTGAAAGAATCTTCTGGAGTTCTCCATGCATCCCCCACCCCCACCCCAAAGACACACAGCCCCGACTGCAGGCTGTCCAATTTCCAAGTCGTAGCTAGGACAACCCAGACAGAGCTTTGTCCACACAAGGCCAGCCAGTCCAGAAGTGTCCAGATGCAGGCTGCAGCCTCGGTTGCCCAGCACCCTGCCTGGCTTTCCTGGGTGGCTGGACCCCAGAGGACCCCTGGCTGGCTGCCCTTCGCCTGCATTGTGAAGAAGGAAGGACCAGAGCTCTTAGTTGCAGGATCCTCTTGGGTGCAGATGGGACATCTCCCTCCTTGGCTGGAAGGAGCTTGGCTTGAGTCTGGGTGACTTTCTAGAACCAAAGTAAACTGAGGCAAAGATAGTCCAGCTTGTGGCTGCTGCTGCACCAGCCAGTCCTTTTCTGCCTGTGGCTCCCTCTGGCGGTCACTGAGAGAAGTGAACCAGCCCGCTGACCTTCCCCAGAGACTGGGACGGGAAGGATGCTAGACAGGCCAGGTACTTTCACGGGGAGGCCCAGAAGAAATGAAAGCTTCACACAGACTGCCAACCTGACTCCACCTGGGGACATGCATTCTGCTGCAGAATAAATCATAAAATGATGGCACACATGGAAGCAGGGAATGCCACACAGGATACCATGCTCTCCCCCGTGCCAGCTGGGTCCTTGCCAACAAGGAGGCGTGGGGTTCCCCAAGTGGAATGTGTGCTGGCCCAGCGTGTGACTTGACCTTCTGTACCGACCTTGTGAAAGTCCTCCGGTGTGTCTGTGCTTGATTTCCTTATCTAGGGACCCCAAAAACCCATGTTGCAGGCTTGTTCTGAAGGTTACAGGGGTAACGTGGAGGAACCTAAAAGATGCCTGTTTACACAGAATATGTAAAATCCAACAGCTCTGCAAGGTCCCGATCATGCGTTTCATCTGTCCAGAGCGACAGGAAAGTCACGTCCACCCCCGACCTTCCTGAGGGCAGAGGATTCCCCAGGGTTCTCACCGCACCTGTAGAGCCAGGGGAAGCCACAACTCAGCAGCCCCCCTGACTCTTTCCAGATGCCCAGTGCCCCTGCTCTTTGTTCCCAAGGCTCTCCCAGAGAAAGTCAACCAGGTCTGCACCCATAAACCCACAGCTGCTTGGCTTGAGCACTTCGCTGTCATTTGGATGCTCTGATGGTGTGGTCAGGGTTGTTTCATTTTAAACGGCGTCAGAGCCATCCCAGTGGTGTGCTAATGCTCAGGGATCCCCAGCCATCCTAATCCTAGCTCTCTGTCAGTTGTGTGTCCCCGGGTGCCCCCAGAGGAGAACCAGCAGAAGGCTCAAACATGTAAGCTGGGCCCAGGACAGCCCTCCCAAGAACTTCCGAATTCCTGTCCCCATGCTTGTCCCGGCAGTCCCACCTTCGCTTCTGCATGGAGAGTGTGATGCACACTCAAGGGCAGGTACCAGGTACAGTACCAAGCAGGTACCAGGCACCTCACGGGCAGGCACACCCACGGGTGGGTGCCAGGCACGCTCATGGATGGGTATGAAGTACACTCACAGGTGGGTATCAGACATACTCATGGGCAGATACCAGATACACTCATCTGCTAGGGCTGTCAGCAGAGTGCCTCAGGCCTGATACCCAGTGTAGGTGGATGTGGGGAGGGGTGTTTGTGGGAGGATGGTAGGTCCTGAGGACCCCGGCCGCAGGTGGCAGTAGTGACATCAGGAGAGACCCTTGTGGGAGCTCATTGCTAGTGAGGCCAGAGCAGCTGGGAGCCATCTCCAAGGCCCCACCAGGGGATCTGTTGGCGCTTGGTCCTGGACATCATAGCCCCCAGACTAATGAGAACCATCTCTGTTTCCAACGGACCCAGCGGAGGGTGTTTCACTGCAGCACACTGAGTCTGCTGGCACCATCTGTGTGTGTGTGTGTGTGTGTGTGTGTGTGTGTGTGTGTGTGTTTAGAGATTTAATTATTTCAAAGACAGGATTACACATGGAGAGACACACAGAGATTTTCCATCTGTTGAGTCACTCTTCAAATGGCCACAACATCTGAGATTAGGCAAGGCTGAAGCCGGGACCTGCAACTCCGCCTGGTCTGCCATGTGGGTGCAGGGACCCAAGCACTTGAGCCATCCTCTGCTGCTTTCCTAGGCGCATTAGCAGGGAGCTGGATGGGAGATGGAGCAGGTACACATATTAGATGCTGACACTGCAGGCAATGCTGGCCCAGCATCTTCTTAAAGAGGCGCATCGCTGTGTAGGGGAGGCCCCCTCGCAGCTTCTTGCCAGCCGCCAGCTCCTGGTGCTGCAGCTGCCTCTCTGCTGTGTCACTCCAGACCACTCTCTCCCAGTGTCTGTGCCCACAGATCCCTCTGCTTCTAAAGATCCTGATTAACACTCCCCCCTAGTGACCCCACCTTCACTTGATCACATCTATACAGATCCTGGACCCAAACAATACCTTTGGAGACAACACCATTTTAACCTACAACCCCAGGTATTCACCAGGAGACAGCTTAGCATGGGAGCCCACAGAGGGTGTCCGTGTCCATGGCTAACGGCCTTGCCTGTGTCGAGATGGTCGTATGCACGGGACGACCACCCAGCCATCTGCCATTAGTCCAGGGAGAGCTTGATTCGGAAAGCATTGGGAAGGAACAAGGTGGCTGTGGTACTGGTAATGATCTTGTCTGGGACTTCATCACTGTAGTTCTGAATAATTAATTCATCTTCTTCCTGGATGTTTACATCCTTCAAATATTTGTAGACGGTTATCACGTCCCCTTAGTCACCACTTAGCAGCACTCTCCGTGTTTGCCGCGCTGTTGACTGTAGTTATCATCCCTGGCTATTAGTATTTCCTCTTAGTCTCCGAGTCATCGTCCTCATTCTGAGAATTTCCTGCAGGCTCCCAGTTAGCTGTGCTGGGACATCCGACGTCAGTAACAGAGACCAGGGCTACCCGCTTCCTCCTCTCAAATTCTCATCAGTTTTCCAAAGCCACAAGCTAAGCGGAAGCAGGGTGCTGCCATTGCAAGCGCAGCTTCCAGACAGTGTCTCAGCCCCCGTTCCCCACCGGAGTCCCCAGTGAGAACCCCCACCGCCAGGAGCCTGGGCCCACTGTGAGGACCACCTGCAGGGGAGAGCTTTATAAAGTAAGCAGGGAGGCTGGCAGGGCCAGCAAAGCTTTCAGCATGCCACCCAACCTGATTTCTGCAAAGCACCCCCATGTCGGGTGTTCTAAAATGCTGGCGATTCTAAAGTTAGAGTTTACAAACGAACTTGATGGAGCTGAAATTTACCCGAAAAGTCTGACTCTTGAAAGAACATACCAAGATGCCCTAGTTCAAAATCTACTTGCAGATTTTAGTGTTCCTAGTAAGGATCCTGGAGCTGAATGGCCCCCTAGAAGCACCTTACGGATGGTCCTGGGGGAGTCTGGAAGGTTATGTGGCTATAAAAGACTTTTTTCTAAGCTCCACCTTGTCTTCTCACATTTCAGATCCTGCTGAAGAGGTCTGTACTTATT